CTTTCGTCTATGTGTGTGTGTGCGTGCGCGTGTGTGTGTGTGTGGAGCAACAGTGTTTTTATTGAATAAACGACGACACGAAAAACCGTAAAGTTATTTTACTTTTTTCTCATTTAGCTCGTAACACGGACGCGTACTTTAAAGATTTTGCAAACAAAAGCGGAGCGCTGATCGTCTTTTTATTGGGGGGCAAAGCTTCGCAAGGGTTGCCACACTTTTCAAAGTGATTTGCATACCTCTTAGAAACGTAGCATATAAAAAAGTTGTGCAGGTCATAATTCGCTTACGTACTTATTCGTGATCTGAATTAACTTATCAAAATTTCAAGGGATTTTGATTAAATTGCGAAATTACAACGAGCTGAAGAAACTTAGTGTATTTGATAGTCGAACACTCTCTCGTTTTAAGATTCATATTGGAAATGGGTGCGTGCACTGATTGATGATCGTGGCGCCTATATAATGCCTGCCGAGTCTGAAACTGAATTGCGTTTGGCTTTTAGCACTTATCGCAGAAATAACAAATTGAATGTAGTCTCCGGCCGGAGATTCTATGGAGGATATGCGGGCGCAAGTGTGTTGCTCAATTGAATGCTCTATAAATAAAGTAAATAAATGATGAATCAGTAATGGGTCTCTCCACAGCAAAAGGTCAAATCATTGGCAGCACTCGCTGACATTCGAGCTGAAAACCGAGTAGTACAATAATCCACTCACAGATCACGGATCGCGGATGTATCCACCCATTAGACGATCCAATCTTAAGTCAAATGAGCTTTCGGCTTTTGTAGCACACACATTTTTCATATATTTTTATTATTATAGAGAGCGCGCTTGTTTCCGATCAAGATCAATAAAATGACATAAGCTCGACCAGAAAACAAAACGCTAACGAGAAAGTGCAAAACACGGGAAGATGAGAGATAGGTGTGTGTGTGTGTGTGTGTGTCCGTATCTGTGTGTGTGTCAAATGCGCAGTGCAAAAATTGACAAAAATATATAGAGAGAATAATATAAAAGGCAACAGTTCGTCAGTTCGTGTGTCATCAGCTGCTCGCCTGACAGACAGACAGACAGCACGCAGCGCACAAAATTCAATTATAAGTGCCACAATTTATAAACAGTCGCTGCCCCACACACAGCGAGTGCTCCGCTCCGGTAGGGCATTGGGAATTCGGGGTGACGGGTGTTGCGGGTTTGACATTGAGTGCTGAGAGATGAATGACAGGTACACGAAAGTGATTCTGTTCTAAGTGCTTCGAATGTGCCCTTTGAATTCGCTGTGAATGCTCGCTTGGATAGAATAAATTATAAAGAAGAGGCTCTAATTGGGAGTTCCCGACTAGGGAATACCCTGAATTCTCTTTTACCAACACAAAATGCAGCTCGTGCTAGGATGCGTTTGCTTTAGCAGTAATAAAAAATTAATGTAAAAAAAAATTCCATCACTAGGAATCGAACCCGTGACAGATAGCACCACTACAGTAACTCTTGCGCTTTGCGCAGATACGAGGCCAGCCAAAAAAGGTTTTCTTTAATAACTTTTGTGTTTCTTAACCGATTTCGATTTCGAATTTTCAACAGTAGATCTTATTTTGTTCACAAAAGTTATCAATTACAGGAAACAAACTCGTACTGCGCGGGCACTAGGAGGACATACGTTCCCAATTTCAGTCTCTACGTTTAATGGGTTCTGGGATCCTTGCCTTCAAACATACGGACAGGCAGACATGGCTAGATTGAGTTGGCTATTGATGCTGATCAAGAACATATATACTTTGTGGGGTCGGAGTTGCTTCCTTCTGCCTGTTATATACATTTGCACAAATACATTATACCCCTTTCACTCATTTTTATGGGTTCAGGGTATAAAAATACCTTAAGACAGTTCAAAATACTCTTTAATTTATCTAGAGCAAACAGTTCTTATAAGTTAAAGAATGTGGTTAATAATAAAGGGTATATTGCTTTTGTAGTTATAGAGAAGGCCTTTCTGACGCCACCTCTGTCAAAACTACAATAGCTAACGAATTTGCATATAACTCAGAGATTATTTCCCTTTCGGGAAACATTCCCAGTGTTGCTTAAAATTGAAAAAAAAAAAACAAATGTTAAAGGTAAAATCTTGATTTTTGGTATCCGCAGACATTTGTATGCCACATTTATTCTCTAAAATTAGGGATGGGAGATTAAAATTGAGGCTGAGTACTGGGTAGCTTCTAGTCGACCTGTACAATCTAGAACAATTTGCCCTGGTGCAATTAAAGAGCTTAAGTTGGGGATAAGAGAATAAAAAGCAAAGCCAGCACCCTTTGAAACTGGATACAGGGTATCTGCTAGTCGGCCAGTACCTTCTAGAACAGTTACACTTGCAATTAGAGAGCTTACGAATGGGAAACAAGACACTGGCGTAAAGCTTTCCTCACTGCGGTTGCATCGATTGTAATAAGATAGACGATGAGGATCGCGCGAACTTCCCATTATAAATATAAACACAAATAAGCATATACACGATACCCCCGCATATATGGGCTAATGGGTCGATCGAAGTGCGATACGGGGCTGCGGTTTGGCACAATTACGTGAATGAATTGTGTCGCAGACGCCTCCAACACACAGCACACACAGCACGGCTCAATTAAATAGTAGCCGCGTTTCATTTAATTGGCCGTAATGTTGCCATCAAAGACTCTTTTTCAAATGGAGTGAAGCTGTTTAATTATGAGTCGAGCGCCTGTGTGGGCGGCTGTCAGTCTGCCGAGGGGTAAACAAATCGAGGGATCTGTTTGTTTTTACTGCTTAATGTGTGGTTTGTTTTGCTGCGGGCTGTTCAATGGATAAATTAACTATTCATTTGTTTACGAATCAAAACAATTGCAATGCCAGCTTTACGATTCAAATGAAGTTGACAAGCGTCAAGTGTCGGGTTGTTATTTTATTGTACCCCGAAATGTTGCAAGGCTTGTAGCCGATTATAATTATTATATTTTTGTATTCGATCTTTAACATATCCATTAAAAGCAATATAAATAATTAAAATAACCGGAAAACCTGAAACAAGTTCTAACAAATCCCGCTGGTTGTCGTTTTCACGCTTTTTCCGTTGGATTTGACGAAAACTAAATGGATTTTGCAACACTTGCTGCAAAGGCAACTGAGTATAATTATAATGGTTGTTATTTTGTTGTGCCTCGAAATGTTGCAAGCGGAAAACCCGAAACAAATTTCTGCTGGCTGTTGTTTTCACGCATTTTTCACTGTATTTTACGGAAAATAATGAGATTTGGCGACAATATCAACCGAGTTAAATGACAATTTGTTGGCTTTGTTGTTGTGCAATTTATGTATTTAATAAAAGGGGAAGAACCGCAGCCATGTGGGTGTATCATTATTTTGGATTACGTCTACTGAATTAACTGTTTGGCAGTGGGTGTTACAGAGCTGTACTTGAACAAGACCAAAGTTACACAAGACCAGAACTGAGCACAAGTTTTAAGTAGACAATAAATCTATTGTTGGTTTCGCCGAAATACTTTCTGAAGAATTACTGAACGACAGATTAATACATATATAAATATCTATCTATATCGCTTTAGACAAAGAAATCAGCTGGAAAAAGGCGTTTTGACTTACCCCTGGGCGGTGGTCCCGATTTGGGGGCTGTGTGCGTGCAGCAGGGTCTCCCGATTTTCGATATGGATCCAGTCGAACCGAAATTGGAGGGCGGCTTAGTTTTTGTTGGTATCCCGGTCACGGAGGAGGCGGGCATGGGAATATTTGATCGGCTGGGCGGCTTTATTTTAGCCGCCATGGCCGGCGTTTCCTTTTCCGTTTCTGTTGCCGAAGATATTTCCGCTGCCGCATTCACATTTACTTCCTTTGCTGTTGTTTCACTCATTTTTCACTTTATTGTTTTTTTTTTTTAACTTTTATAAGACACACGCGTATTAAAATATAAAACGATATAAAAGCCGGCTTTGGAGAACTGCCAGGAATGTGTACAAAGGAATTAAAGTGGCTTGAACGCTGCTTACTTACCTTCGAATCGGCTAAAACCAAAATATTGTATTTTTAATATTCATATATGTTTCGCAGCACGTGGACACACTGTGCGGCCAAGTGACGTTTTGGCGCGCACGCAGGCTATCTCGCTCGCACGCTCGACAGCACAGCCAACAGCTGATTGAAGCTGAATTTTTTTTTCTTTTTTTTTCACCTTGAAAAACAAACAAAATAACCGCTGCTTTTGATTTTTGGTTTCGGTGTGACCGCCTTTTTCGTTATAATTTGAAATATGCGGAACTGATGCTGCCAGCTCGTTGACACCTTGAATTAATTATGTATACTTCTCACAGAGGCGTTCACCTACACACAGGCACACGCGCACACATATACAAATGGACCATTTATTGAATCAAATATTTGCTGGGGTTGTTGTATGATCACACGGATGTACACAGGGGATTGAGAGCATAAACGGTTTGTTGTTGTTGGCACCGTTTTGCTTGACACAGATTCGGACGCGACGACGTAGCCAGCGACGGGCGTTGATAAGATAACGTTGCACAATGCACCGCTGTTAACGAGGACGTTGGTATACGAAACGCGTTTACATTTACTCAATTTATAACTAATTTACTTAGAAATTTTTTCGCACACTTTCGGTGTTGGTTTTAATAATTTTTTTAGGCTGCGTTGGAATTTTTGTTGTTGCACTAGTGATGGTAAGAAGTCGCTGCAATGTTTCTATCGATAGGTGTCAACCTATCGATATAGAGGCTCTGGTCCGCTAACCGTCTGGAATGGTATCTTATTCAAATGTATTAAAATTGCATTTAAACAAATGGTTACTTGTATTTTAACTTAAATATGTTGGGCAGACTAATCGTTTGACAGACTTTTCAATTTCGAAGCTGCTAAAATACCAAGATTTGGTATTAGCTGAATTGTGGTGAATTTGTGCTTAACACATTTGGTCACACTGTTTGACAGACGCTTCAGTATTTTTTTTATTTCGTGGCGTGCGTTTGGGTTTCGCCGCTGTTCCGCTTGATTTTTGGGTGTTTTTGTGTTTGTGCGAGCGCGCGCGCGTATGTGTGTGTGAAAAGAAAGAAGCCGCAGAGGAAAATCCGATTCTTGGAAATCTTATCAATGAGTTTTTAGGTGCTGCCACAGTTGGAAAATGCCAACGCACTCAACAAATCTCGCACGTTTGTAGCTTGCAGCTGCAGTTGTTGTCGGCGCGTCTGTCGTTTGTTATTACTGCTACCACGCCCACACACACAGACACACAGGCTCACACATACAGCATGGCAGCCACGGTGTACAAACGCCTACACAGCGCCAGTATAGGCGGCGGCGGCGGCGGCGGAGGCAGCCTCATCGCTTCCACCACTTCCCCCGCGTCCATGGGCGGCTCCTCGCCCATGCTGGGCCACTCGCAGCTGACGCGCTCGCTGGAGCGCATCCTCGAGGAAGCGCACTTCAGCGGCGAGCTGATACTGACCAATCGCAAGCTGAAGGACTTTCCCAAAACGGGCACCAAATACAGCCTCACGGATACCGTTATTGCAGGTGCGTATTCAACATTTAAAGGCCCCCCTTACCCCTGCCTGCCTCTCACCTATGATGGGTGCGGCTGCCATTCACATTTATGCTAAAATCTCCTTTTGTTCGCTTGGAAATCAATAATTTGCAGCAGCCCGCCGCATGCTCGACCGCTCTCTCTCTCGCTCGCTCTCTTTCTATCCCTTATCTCCCTCTCTCTGTGTCTTGCTCCCTTCGCTTGCTTTGCCAAGGGGCCTGTCCATCTGCAGTCGTTTTATGTCTTTTTATTGCTTTCGCACGCACTTGCTCTCCGCTGCTCGCCTCTCTCTCTATTCCCCTCTCTCTCTCTCTCTCTCTCTCACTCTGTCTCTCCTTCTACAAGGACAGTAATTATTGCAGCTGTTTTTTCGTTTTGCCTTTTTTATTCCCATTTGCTGCATTCTGCACTATTCGCATTTCGGGTGGGTTTTTTTTTTCTGCCTGTTTCAAGTTCAGCCAACTTTCATTTTTGTTGTGCCCAAAAATGCACTCAATACACACACACACACACACACACACACAGATACAGCCACCCACCCACAGAACCACCCATTTAACTACCCCGAGGAGCGAACCATCTGTTTTAATAAGTGAACAGTCCGTCGACTTTTCGCTTTGCCCATCGCCCATCTTTGATTCGCTTTCCTTTTGATAGAGTTGTAGAAAGGTCTTAAAAAAATGAATTAAATTTTAACATAGGTGTAACTTTAGGTCAAAAGAAAAAACAATTGTTGCAATATTATAAATGGTTGTAAAAGATAAATAGATAAACTCTATCAAGGATTAGTTCTTCGAACTACTTTTATGTGTTTCAAGGGCTTAAGTCAGCTATTTCTTGAACATATGAGTAAAGTCTTAGCAGCATCAAACATATATCATATACATATATCAACTATAGGAACAATCAGTCGGAAAAGGAGTTTTTTTTGTAAATGTCATGTATCTGCTATAAGCCAGAAAGGGAGTTAACTCTTTGGAAATCCGCAGTTATTTTTTCTTTACTACTGATTAAAAAAACTTTATAGGAACTCTTTAAACTCTTTATTGTTTTAAGTGTTTCTTTATTGTTTTTAATGTTCCCAAAAAAATAACAAGATTGGAAATTGCAAAAAAATAAAAATAAAATTACAAACCTGTTAAAGTTTACTATTATTTAAAAGCTTTACGGAAGAAGAACTCATTAGTTCTATGAACTGCAAAAAAAGTTTGATTTGGTTTGGTTGTAACTGAATAAAATATATGATATTAGTTATCCAGTTCCAGTATCGATTCGTGGTCTTTATTTTCAATAAATAAATAAACGATTCGGTTGAACTTTCTTGGGTTTTGCTTCCGGCATTTTCCAATTAAGTTTCGTTTGTGGTTCGATGCCTTTTGCCGGCTTCACAATTGACTCATCGCTTGCACATTTATGTGTGTGTGTGCGAGTCTGAGTGTATGTGCGTGTGTGTGTGCGTAGGCGTGACTAATTAGCAATTTAAATCATTGCCCCCTTTTGGTGTGAACAACATCATAAGACCTACCCTTTCCATCCCTCCTCCTACTCCCCCCCTTCTTGTGTGAAGACACAATTAAGTTGTTTTGTTGCTAAAATATTTATGAAAATGTTGTGCCAATAAAGGTGACGAAGAAGAAGAAGAGCCACCCCCCCATTGAAGGGTGAAACACTGGCGAAAGGTGGCAACATCATTTTCTATGCTAACCACCGGCTCAGAGCGGGCGAGTTTCGAATAACCACTTGAAACCAAGAAATCAATGAGAGGCATTAAGAATATTTTTTTTGGCTTTCCTTTCTTTCCTTTCATTTCTTTAGCCAGTAACCCTCAAGGATTTTAGAGTGGAGAGGTGGGGGTTATCGTAGGTGGCAACGCTTCCTCAAAACCATTTGTTGTTGTGGTCTAGACCCCAGTCGCCCCTGCACCCCTCGTCGCCCTGTAAAAGTCATTTCGTTTTCACTGCAAGCGCAGCACGTGATTAAGTTGAATGTCACGTAAATCAAACAACGAACAATAAACGTAGAAAATAAACAAATGCAACTGCAAAGCAGAGAAACTCGACTGGGCGACGTGCAGGAAATTGCTTTAAATAATTGCAAGCTGCAAAAGAAAGAAAATAAATATTTGCAGCAGCTGCATGAAGTGCAGCAGACAAAGGTAGCAGAATATGAGCAAAAAGGAGCATATAAAAAGGTAGCAAAAACTGAAAAGAAGGAAAAGGTAGCTGAAGATAAAGAAGGAACAGAAGCTCATGCAGCTGAAGTACAAAACGCATTTAAACATTGCAATAGAAAAGGAGCAGAAAAAAGTAGCTGTAGACGTTAGAAGAAGAGCAGAGGATAGAAGTGCAGCAGACTTAGGTAGTAGACACGACACTGGCAGCTGCGCAGTGTGCGCTGCAATTGAAGCTGCTGCCAGTGTTGCTGTGCATGCACAAAAGGTCCCCAACTGAACAAGAAATAAAATTGTTGTTGGCAAACAAAACAATTTTAAACCGAAGGGAACGAAGAGAGACAACTGTCGTTTGTTGTGTGTGTGTGTCTTTCATAGTTCCCGTTCTCGCTGTTGTTGTAGTGTGTAATGTGTAAATCTGAAGCCGACAGCTTTGTAGTTTTTTATTATTATTTGTTGCTCCAAACACTCAGCAGAACTCGGACCAGAGGAAGCGACACTGTCAGATGCGGTCGGTCGGGCTAGGCACGTCGCACGCTCAGTGGTTGTTAAACTGTGCTGCGTGCTTTGCATGCGCGACAAATGGGAAGCGCTGCGCAGCTAGAGATGACACATTGCGGCGATCGTAGTGCGTGATTGGTATGAAAATGTATTTCAAGGGCATGTCGCTCACGAATAATGCAAAATATCGTGTGCTAAGCAAGATTCTCTCTTGTTGCATTTATTATTAGATATTTCCGTTGCCTCTCTTGGCAATTAATAAATGCGCGAAAAATGAATATTCGTTTAGCTAAATTTCGTAGCCTTTCTAAAGATAAATCGTCAAAAAACCATAAAATTGAGGCTAGTCGGCTGCAAACTTGACACAGAAACGAGCATTCATTGAGTGTATCTATTAATTCAGAATTGTAAGCAATATTTAATGGCTCCACGATGTGTGGCAGGGGCAATTCTGAGGCATAAACAATTTACGTTGTTTATTGGTGAGCGTAGCACGCGCTCACCAACACAAGTACAAGAACACAAGAACTATGTTTATGCGCTGCGAATCGTGATATACAAATATCGTGATACTAAAAAATACTTAAGAAGTGAAGTTAAAATTGATATATATCACAAAAAACTATGTTAAAAACATGTCTTCCCAAAATATTACTTATCTTTAACATATCTTCATTGAATGGTATTCATTTTCTAATCAATTGATCTACTACGTAGATAAGATAGATCTGCAGATTAAACGACGTGTAATCGATTTAATCTTAAATATAGGCATGTTTGTTAAAGCATATTGAATTTATATATTTCACATCGCGATAAGCGCTTTTCAACAATTAATCATCGTATAAACATTGCATCGACAATAACAGCTCAACTGGACAGCAGCTTCTGGAACAGCAGCTGCTATCAGCTTACAACAACTGCAAATAAATTAAGGGCAATAGCCACAGCAACAACAACAATAACAACAATAGCAACAGCAAAGAAAAAGACAACAACAGCAACAAATTAAACACACGCCAGACATTTGCTAGCCGTGGTGTTTCAAGTGTGTATGTGTGTATATGCTTGTGTATGTGTGTGTGTGTGTGTATAAGAAAAACTATGCTCTTGCAGCTGAAAAATGCTGCCTCAGCTGAACGGATACTCGCTTTAAAAAAAGGAAAATTCATCAACGGCATCAACAACAACATCAATTCGAAATGTGTACACTTCAAATGTTTCAATATTTATTTTATTATTTGTTTACTGTTGGCAAACAAAAATTTGTTGTTGTTGTTGTTGTTATTGTTTATCTTTAAGTTTACAATGTGACCAAATGTGAAATACTCGCGAAATTGCAGAGCACTAAACAAACACAACTGTGTGTGTGTGTTTGGGTATGTGTGCGTGCCTGTGTGTGTCTGTGTGTGTATTGAGTGGCTGTTAAGTGCCGTTAAGGGGGTGAGGGGCGGGTGGTGCGGGAGGCAGTGGAGCAGCCTGGGCTTTCCACATGAAATCGAACCAATCGAAGCACGCAACTCCGATGCGATTTCATCATGAGACACACATCGAAGCGGGAATTATAATTGCTGTTGCAGTTGTTGTTGTTGCTGTTTTGATTGGAGGATAGTGTGGAAGATTGATTGAAGAGGGTAAACCATATGGAAACTGTTTTGTTGTTTGTTTTCCCAGCTGCGTATTTACAAATCGCGTTTGCTCAGCGATAAGCAACCGAGTCCAAAGTGTGGGAATCATCATTTGAGTATAAAGAAAGCATTTTATTAATAGATTTGAAAACATGTCAGTTATGTATAACCAGGTCTTCTTCAAAATTGTTCCAGATTCAACACTATTGTAAGACTTCCTTAGGAGAGCGAGAGAGAGAGAGAGGGCAAGAGAGACGACCAATTTAATATGACACCAAATTTTCTTTTACATATGTACAAATATCTGGATCATTTTTAACTTCAACATTAAACTGGTTCCGAGTCCGGTTCATATATAAGTAGTTCAGCATATGCGGCTGTGAATCACATATGAACCGTTTCCATTTTGGTTCCTTCAAGAATGTTCCAGATTAAACACTATTGTATGACTTCCTTAAGTGAGACAATATATTTCATATTTTCTACTTTGACACCAAATTTAATATTATTTCTGGATCATTTTTAAATTAACTTTTCACTGGTTCCGATTCCGGTTCATATATAAGTAGTTCAGCCTATGCGGCATCTTAACATGAATCACATATGAACCGGTTCCATACAGATTTTGGTTCCTTCAAGAATGTTCCAGATTAAACACTATTGTAAGACTTCCTTAAGAGAGAGAGATCATATTTAAACTGGTTCCGAGTGCAGCTCATATATTAGTAGTTCAGCCTATGCGGCATCTAAACATGAATCACAAATGAACCGGTTCCATACACGATACGATTTTGAGGTTAACCACTTTAAGTTCTCGCTTATTAGATTGTGCTTTTATGCCATATAAAGTCTGATTACTCAGTGTGACCATATTTACAATAGACATAAAATGCAAACTTCTAGCCCAACATTACACCGTAAAAGTCTCTCAGAGGAAAACTCGTACGCTTTGCCCATTTATTCCATTATGAATCATAATTCGAAGCGTGTGCCCAACATCATCATGATCAACGATCATCACCATCATCATCATGATTGTCGGCGAAAGCCAGCAATAAAATTGAGTAAATTAATTTCAATAAATCCATCAATAGAAGCCACCGCGTGCCGTCCCAGCTGCCGGAATAGCCCGTCACGAGTGGCAAATGGTTCCATATTAGACTTGGGCTCCAGCTACCCAAATGTGAGTCCATGTGTCTTCTTGTCTGGAATGTGGCGCCATTAATTTAATTTTTTGTTGCTTCCGTTGACGCCCTTCAACGGCAAATGGCCGCCCCTTCCTCTCTTCCTCTACGTGGACGGCTGCACCCTTATTGCATGAGTTATTCCATGGCCAATTTCTGGGAGTATATTCTGCAATATTTATGCGCTGTGCTGCAGGTGTGCGACATTCTTCCAATTTTCAATTATGTTGTCGCCAAAATAAAAGCAAATTTCATTTGATTTATTTTGTGCTGTTTTTTGTGTGTATCGCAATTTGTTTTGGCCAACAGCCAAATGACCATGTGGCAGGTGGCAGGTCCACAGCCCGCCCCAATTTGGCCTATCGCGGATGCTGCTCGGGAAATATGCGCGGATCCAATTTCCGCACGTTGCGGCGGATTCCATAAACTTAGCTGATGATGTCACCGGCCTGTCCTTGGCACATCCTGTTGCCAGGCAAAGTTTATTCAACCGACTCAACATAATGTGGGTGCAGCAAAGTGCATCTCAAGCGTCTGCCTTTGTCTGCCTTTTGTGCATTTGTATGCAGGGCTGGGGCCTGGCAAGGGGCAGGAGGAGTGTAGGGGAATACGCTAATGTGAAGCCATAGCGAGAACCTACCCAAGCCGCGCCCCGAGTGCTGCCTTTCTGTTGCTCCCAAAGGGGGGCAGGAGGAGGAGAGGTGGAAGCGAAGCATAAAGCAATCTTCATTGGCCTATAAACAACGTAGGTTGGGGAGCCACTGGGTGTGCGTAAATCAACAACAACAACAACAACAACCAGTCAAATGGCATCGTTTGTCGTCAGCCAGTTTTAGCGTTGAGTTTTCTGAGTACTTGGAAGTGGCTGACGGATTCGCATTTCTGGTTTTTCTTCCTCAAGAGCATTGCATAAGCCGAACGAACGGATCACATAAGTAGTATTCGCAACAGCCAGTGTTGAACAACTGGTTCGAGATACGAGCTGCACTCTTTGAACTAGTTTTGAGAAGCTTTAAAATTGCATTTTCAAACTTTCATAACTCTGGCAAATGCCCTAAAGAGGTTTTATCATGGTTTAATAAACACTTAAGGATCACCTAAGTAGTATTCGCAACAGCCAGTGTTGAACAACTGGTCCAAGATACGAGCTGCAGTCTTTAAACTAGTTTAAAGAAGCTTTAAAATTGAATTTTTAAACTTTCACAACTCTGGAATATAAGCTTTATCACGGTTTAATAAACACTTAAGGCTTTCATAAATGTGGGTTTTCTTTAATAACAACCACTTTAAATTACGCTTAAAATATCGGTTCAGTTTCTTTCGTACATGATATCATCATATTGTTTTAATGACAGCTTTTAGACTTTTAATGGGCTGCAAACTAGTTTAAAAGGTCACGCATTGGACTCCACGCACTTGAGCAAAGAGTTAACCAACACTAAACTCAAAATTTAGACTTCAAATAATAGTGAAATTATTAATAGGCGAGTCAGCAGATAAAATATACGCATTGCCGTAAACAATTTCCCACTGAAAGCGAACAAAAGTCTGGTCAATATTTGGTCGGGGAATTATTTACCCGTAAAGCTAACCAGTTAAAGCACTTCACAACACTGGCATAACTATATTTCATGCTGCTGCTGCACCCACACATTATCCAATCTGACCACATGCATAGCTCCATATCCAAACTACGCCCACTCGAAAACCTAACGCACAATTTCGTGTACACAATAAATTTGTTTGTTTGCCTCTTTTACTATCCCCATTGCCCCATTGTCCCCCCCCCATCCCAGCCCAGCCCGCCCCTCGATTCTCGACGAGCTGCGCCTGTTGTTTGCGCTCTCATTTTGCATGCAAATTCATTTAGTAAATTAATTGCCCATTCCACGGCACTTTCCCACTGTGTTTTTTCTGTGGCCAGAATCGGGCTGCGGGCAAATTGTGAATTGCCGGCATATTGAGGTCATGCGCTCCAGTGTGGCGTGGCGGAGTCGGCTTCGGAGTCCGAATGCGTGCCGTGATAAGGCAAACAACTCCACCTCCCTCCCTCCCTCCCGCGCCTTGCACCCCAAAATAACTACTTGCAGGGGAGGCGCATCTCCTGCCTGTCTGTCGCCCCAGTAATTAATGTCGCTTCCCCCTTGTTGTCATTTACAGATCTGTCCCGAAATAGATTCTGTGAGCTGCCCGAGGAGATCACAACGTTTGCGTTCCTGGAGACGCTGATGCTCTACCACAATGCCATACGCAGCATACCGGAGTCCGTGAAGCAGCTCTCCTCGCTGACGTATCTGGATTTGCGCAGCAATCAGCTGGGCTCGCTGCCGCGCGAGATCTGCTTCCTGCCGCTGCAAGTGCTACTGGTGTCCCACAATCGGCTGGTTGCGCTGCCCGATGAGCTGGGCCGCCTGGATCAGACGCTCACCGATCTGGACGCCTCCTACAATCAGCTGGCCGCGCTGCCCGTCCGTCTTGGCGAGCTGCGCACCCTGCGCTCCCTCTCGCTGCGCAGCAACCAGCTGCTCTATCTGCCGCGCGAGGTCACCTGCCTGAGCCTCGTCTCGCTGGACGTGAGCAACAATCGCATCGCCAGCCTGCCCCTGGAGATACGCCACATGAGCACACTCGTGGAGCTGCAGCTGGAGAACAATCCCCTCACCTCGCCGCCGGCAAGCGTAAGTGCACAAGAGAGACTGACTGTCTATATGTAAAAATATCTAGTCATTGGCATAGGAACTGATTAGATAGGATATCAATTCCATATTTGTTTATATTTCAACACAGCTAGAAGCTATCGCATTTCCCCTGTACACCCTGCTATTGTCACACTATTAAGTAATATTAATGGTCTATATATAGATATGCGATAATGAGTAAATTTAATCTTGAGTAACTTCGGTGCTTAGAGTCCCATCTTTATGAAATTTTCAGGGTTTTAATATGACATACTAGCGGGTATTGCCCGCCCTTGCCCGTGGAACATTATGTGCTAACAATTTTAAATATTACCTTTCCAAATATGTTTAAAGTGCATCGAATAAAGAATCGAATCAGAAGTTTCAGAGGTTTCCAAATTTCCACAGTTGCGGGTGGAATTCTCTAAATCGCTGAAACACGTATTCATTATGTTTTTATGTAGAGCTTTAAAAATAAGTTTGATGCAAATCGGACAAAACCTGAAAACTTTGAATCGCATTTTCCACCGAGGAAAAGTGTGAAAGACGTCTCAAATGATTTTAGATCATTGGAAATGAGTTTGAGCGCGAAAAAAATCTTTGACCTCCATTTCCTCCATCTTTGAAAATGGGTTTGAGGCCGATCGGATGGTAAACAAAAAAGTTTCATACAAACGATTTTCTCGATTTTCCACACTTACGGGTGGAAATTCCCGAAACCCCGTCTTAACGTGCACCTTCAATAGATAAGGGAACTACTGTGAAAATTTCAGCTTCATAGCTCTTACGATTTGGGCTGTGCGTTGATCATCAATCAGATAGTCAGTCAATCAGTCAGTCGGTCAGTCAGTCAGTCAGTTGGTCAGTCAGGACAAAGAGTATTATATATAGCGATAAGAGTGCGTACATACCAACACTCAGTTTACACTGTTTGGGCTGTACGTTGATCATCAATCAGTCTGTCAATCACTCAATCAGTCAGTCAGTCAATCAGTCAGTCAGGGCAAACAGTTTTATATATAGAGATAAAAGTACATACATACCAAGACTCAGTTTATTATTCCAACTCGAATCGCATCGATTTAATTCATGCTCTTTGATGTACTTACAGCTCTGCATGCGCGGCCTGGTGCATGTGTTTAAATTTCTGGAGACGCAGGCGACCAAGGAGGAGAAGGGTGCTCGAGCAGGCGGCAATTATGATGGCTACACGACGCTGCGACGTGCGCCGCGTCACAATTCCAGCGGCAACATGCTGGAAACGGCGACCACGCAACGGCATGCCGGGCGCCATCAGATCGATTCCGGCTACAGCACGAGCGATGGGCTGGACAAGCGCTGGTCCCACGATGCGCCCGGCAAGTCCAAGACGGACTCGCCGCTTCACTGTGCGACGCTGCCGCGCACGCTGCCCTCCGGAACGGGCAACAGTCAGCCGCAGTCGCAGTCGCAACAGCTAAGCGCAGATCTGATGGATGCATCGCTTACCTCCAGCACCAGCACGATTGTGGACGAGAGTCTGACGCTCAGTGCGGGCGCCTCGCCAATGGCATCGCCTTGCAAGCGATCGACGTCGTCCGCCACGGAGCACATCAGCTACGCGCACTCGAACAGCTCGAGCAATGGCTCGTCGCCGGACCAGGACGATGATCTGATGCTGGATCATCAGGAGCGCAGCGTTAACGGCAGCAATGGCAAGCTGAACAAGAGTCTCAGCAACATTCAGACCTACAAGTGAGCCACAGATTCAAGAGTCTCCAAATTATCAGCCATGTAATCTGTTTTTATACCTTCGGCAGGGAGTACAAGGATGCGCTGAAGCAGCAGCGCAATCAGGAGATTAGCAGCGTCTACAAGCAGAAGCATCCCAATGCCAATTCCAGTCCCAACGAGGAGGAGCTGCCACGCCTGACGAACGGCCAATCGGCCACGGCCACCCTGCCAAAGTCCATTATGAAGCAGCCCAGCAGCAACGGTCACAACGGCAACGGCAACGGGAACGGCATTGATGATGTGGTTATACCAAAGAAGCCCATACAAAAGGTGATTCCATCACGCAACACGGAGCTGATGTCATCGCTGGCATTGAAGTCGTCGCCGCCAACGTCAGCCACAGACCCAAATGGGGCCAATTGTGCGGGCTATGTGAAGCCCCACAGTCCCATGAAGAATGGCCTCGGGGTGCTCACCAACAGCAACAGCAACAACAACGGCTGCAACACCAAATTTAGCACGTCCAATGGCGGCGGCGCCACCAGCACCTCCAGCACTGGCCTGGTTAAATCGCCTGTGAGCGCCACCAGCAAATTGGGCAACGTGAAGACGCATCGCTCGGTCACTTGGAATCATGATATACCTGCCGAGAAGTTGAGCTTCACCATGCGACGCGAGTTCGATCGTCAGCGCGAGGAGACGGAGCTCATGTCCCAGCTGCGTAGCGTGAGTGCAGGAATCGCATTAAATGATTCTTTGCTCAGTTGTTTATCTTTGCTTGCAGATAATTGAGACACGCTTGAAGATGACGCTGCCCGAGGATATCGCATCGGCACTCACAGACGGCGTCATACTCTGCCATTTGGCCAACTATGTGCGTCCGCGGTCAGTGGCCAGCATCCATGTGCCATCGCCCGGTGTGGTGAGTGTTGTGCTCCAACAAGAGCAATGTGGCACACAGCACAGAGATCACATAAAAATGTATCTTTAGGAAATGTATCTTTAGCTACTTGATATTAGTCTATAGATTGTCTGTCTACATTTCCAACTGTATTCTGTTTCCCATCGTAGTATATTTTCAATCGAAAACTGTGTCTGTTATTTTGTTGATCCTCGTTGGTTCTTGTGGCTTGGATCTTTAATTCGGTTCCAAAAGAAATTTAAAAAATTTAGATAAAGTAATTTATTTCAAATACAAAAATGTGGTCAGATTAGAAATGAGGTTCAATTCATTGTAAAGAGAACTGGAAATACGGGTGAAGTAATTTATTTAATGCTGGTTTTGGCGACCTTTCCCTATTTTAATTATTTTATTGGCTGGCTCGAGCTCCGGGTTTATAAAAATAATGAAATATATTAAATGAAATTGTTTCCACGTTTTATTTTAACAAACCCCTCGAGTTAGCCAATAAAATAATTTATTTATTTAAAATATAAAAATGTGGTTAGATTAAAAATGCGGTTCAGAGAATTGTAAATACGGCTGCTAATCAGTTTAGCTTGCAACTTAAAGAAAGGAAATAACAGTAATTAAATTAAATTAGCTCATTTAAGACCATATTCTGTAGCTTCTTAGGTGTGCCACATTGTTTTTGTTTAACTCTGCCAAATGAAGATATGTAAATAATGTAATTTTTCTTCAGAACAAATTATCAATGGCGCGCTGTCGACGCAATGTGGATAACTTCTTGGAGGCCTGTCGTCGCATTGGCGTGGATGAGGTGCGTATTTCAACCCGTTTTTACAGTCCTACTCATAAGTTAGACAACAGTTAATATCTAGCTTAATTGTCGGTTGTGGGGCAAGTCAAATGCTTAATGCGCTTAACGCTTTCCCGCTTTGTAGTCGGTTTGCATTTATCAGAGACTGCTTTTTGTCTAAACACCTAGCCCTACCCCCCTACCCCCCTACACACACACACACACACACCTACACATACTTTTGAAATATGATGCATAAAATCTGTTATTGGTGTTGGTTGCAGGAGTTGATTTGCTCCTGTGCAGATGTTGTGCCACAGCAACAACAAAGCGAACATCCACGCGCGGATGATGACTATGACGCTGATGTTTATGTCGATGATAAAGACAGCAGCAACAGTTGCAGCAGCAGCAGCAGCAGCAACAACAATAACATTGATACAAATGCTGGCCGTAAGCGCTGGCAAGTGCCAAACGCAGTCGCCCTGCTGCGCACAGTGGCCGCACTGATTGCCCTCGATGCGAATCCACATCATCAGCATATGCGCTACCTGCAACAGCAGGAAGAGTTGCAGCTGAAGCTGCAGCAGCTGCAACAGCAGCAACAAGAGCAAAACTCCTGCACCAAACAGCCAGTACAGATGTTGCAGCAACAACAGCAACAACAACAAATAGATAATGTATTATATGAGAATTGTGAGTTTGTCAATGGCAAGGAAGCGCATATGTCTGATGATGCAACAGCAACATGCATGCTCTACGAGCCACTGCAACAGCAACAGCAGCAGCAGCAACTGGGCGCAGTGGGTCAGCTGCTGCGCACGGCCAAACTGAAGACCTACGAGAAGATCAAGCACAATCTGTTGAGCGCACACGGCCAGCACAGTTTTCAATTGAACAACAACAATCGCACGCTGCAAACGATTATCGAGAACGAACACGATGTGGCCGCCGCTGGACCGGCTGGTCACTATCATCTGATTGACGAGAAGCAACAGCAGCGGGCGCAGCTACGGGAGCAGCAGAAGGAGGAGAAGGAACCGCCCACAGTTAAGCCGCTCGCCAAGCGCATTGAGTTCTTCGAGCAGCAGCCCAAACTGGAGGTCTTTAGCATCTATCGCATTGATGAGCAGCAGCTGCAGCAGCAGCCGCCGCCGCCGCACAAGCTGGAGCAGCTGAAGCAACACGAAGCTGGTACTTTGTTGCTGAAGCATGACTCCCACACGCTGACGATTATCCTGTCGTGCGTTTTCATCGCCACTTTCCTGTGGCTGGTCTTCTTCCCATTGCCCGGCTAGCAATGGCACGCCCCCCTGCAGCTTCTACCGCCTTTACGTATTGCCAATAGTTTTAAGATGGAGCTCACGCAGCTTTCATGGCGCTTGTACTAATTTATTTAACTTGAGGCTGCTTTTACGTTTAGTGCTAATAAGTATTACGCTAAAATCTAGATGTAAAACCCCAAAAAACCCAAAGACTTTGTAGTGCAACACATATTGAGGGTATTCCCCCATATTGTATTTGCTATCATGTGAGATTTATACACACATTCTTGACTATATACGACACAGACACACACATATATACAATTCATCACAAATAACATTTTCACTTGGTTTTCAAAAAGTATTTATATATTGAAAAAAAACTATACCTATTCCTAATGCTAGGCTACAACGAAAAACACACTTGAATTGCGTTCCGATTGTTAGTTGAACTAAGTAGAAAGTAGATACAAGTTAAACAGTGCTGTAAAGGACTCGATAACCAGTTACCAGTGCTGCAAAGGACAATGAAAGGTTTAGATTTACATATGGGTTGTTGTTATTGACCAATGGGTCGGCTGGGACTAGCAGGCAGGCGAAGCAGGGACACAAAATAGTTATAGAAAATAGCGCGAAATAGTTATATATATTATATCTATAAACACTCCAACAAAGATCAACAAACTATATATACTCGAGCGCACAACTCTTGAACAATCAATTTTCAACGCACACAGTTCTCATCAAAAAAATATATGACAAAAATAGTGCCTTTGACTGTACAGTTTAGACAGTCTGAATCAGCTATATAACTTTATATATAGTACACACACATCTTCAAGCAATATTTCTTGATTTCGTTGCCAAGATTTTCGATCAATTGTGAACATAATTTGTATTTTATGTGTACAACTTACTGAGTGAACGAACAGAGCGCTTTTTCTCCCAATGACTATAATTGTATTATTTATAAAACTATGAATTAAAAGAAAAACTATATATTCCATTCCTAACTATATCATATAATTTAATTTAAATTTATAAATGCTTAAATAATGCAAATAAGTACTTAACGAACTCTCGATGAAAAGCTAATCAAATTTCTAAAAGAAAAACCATCTGGAAAACTTACATAGTTATGTATATTGATCCAAGTACTTAAAAAAGATAACTTGTATACACATATTTATATTTTGTCTAACAAAAAAGAGAAACATATAAACATTCAGGCAGCTATAAGAAATGCATAAAAATATAAATTTAGTTATAGTCATTAATTTTTATAAACGACATTTAACAAAGACAAGCTATTTATGCTCTATATATATACTAAGAAATCTGTAAACAAAATTATGAAAAACAATCAAAAATACCAGGAAAATGATATATTTATGAGCCGCAGTAACATTTGAAGCCAAACAACAAGCCAAGTTATAAGCATATTGCACAGTGGAGCAAACTTCCAATGTTTCCAGTCATTTATTCTTCAAACCAAACGAAAACTAATGCATTTATTGTAAGCATTAAGGAGAACTATGCGAAAATGTCAAAGAAATATAATACATTAATATAAACAATAAGCAATTGAAAACTAGTTTTTATGGCCAATGTGCGCACAGTTTGATGGCGACTGTTGCGCAGCCGAGACACGCACCCAGGTCACAGTGACTGTAAAACTTTGGCGCTAGAGCAAAACAGAACTGAGTTGTAAAGTTTATATTCTATGCTTCTATTTGTTTGTATTTTACTTTATTAAATTAATCTTGTAAACTTATTTTCACACAGAATCTAATTTGCTGCGCTGCCGATGTGCTCGAAGGCAAAGGTGCCGTCCAGGTGTCCATCACGGTGGGTGAACTCTTCCGGCTGCATGGCAGCGGCTTGGTCTGTGGCGGCGGCAGTGGCAGCAGCAGCGGTGCTGCCACGCCCACAAAGTCACCGACCAGAACAACACGTGCCACATTGTCGCCCACGCCCCTAGTCTAGTGGGAGGAGGAGGAGGAGGAGCATAACGAGATGGAGGAGTTTCTTTTGATGCTGAGACACGTGCAGCAAATGGATAATACTTTTGGAACAACTATTTAATGAACACACGGGTTTCCTGCATAACACATTGTGAAGAATTTGAAAGTTGGCCGCCTTTTTGTTGTATTTGTAGCCAAGTTAGTTTAGATATGATGCGAGCATTCATTATGTCATATGCTTTGTTAGTTTATTTATTTATGTAAATACACACAACATAAAGAACACACACAATGAAACCAAAAAGCACACACATACACACACACATACCAACGAATTTGAGTTAGTCACAAAGATGTATTTATTAAATTTGTCATTTGAATTTCTGCATACACACACAGTTGTATATTATTAGTTTGTAATCTGGCAAAGGTTTTCTCACATGCATCTCAAACTGTATGCCATTTGTTTCTGTTATATATCTATTGCTGTTTGGCCAAAATTTGAATAGCGTACTAAATGAATACTGTTTTAAGTATGAATCAATCAGTCTATATATACATACATAACATACATGCATACATATAAATAATTTGTCATATATCTATATACATGTGTATATGACTAATTTTATAATATTGATTATGTAGCTTAGTTCTAACGATAGCTGTGCTCACTTTTCTACACTTTATACGAAGCGAATTATGCACTAAACTGTAAGTCTTCGAATATATCAAATAAAATGGAAATTGTCATATGTATCTTTCTCGATGCTCTGCTTTTATTTCAACTTCTGATACTCGCCTTGCCTCTCCCTGTTTGCCCAAGGCTTCAAGATGTGCGCACACATGTGCGCCATGCTCGAAGCCCTCCCTGCCTGTCGCAAAGAACAACAAACTCGTGCAGTCACAATTTGCCAAACACTTTTTTCGTTGTTACCAAAAGCTAACATTTTCTTTGCTGACTTTTGCCGGGGATTTTCATTTTTCGCATTTTACGACAGGCCTACGACACTTACTGCCCGCCCGCCAAATTGAAAGACGATGCCAGCTGCGGATCGAAAATATACAAAAAGAAAACACAACTTTCCTTCCCCATAGTTTTTAAATTTGCATAACGCGCAAAGCAAGCAATTGATGGAGGTTGTTCTTGCTAAGCGGAAAACATAGCAAATACATAATTGAAAATTAAAAAAAAAAAAATGTTTTACTTGAGTGTTGAGAAAAATATCGAATTTGTTCTATCAGCGTAAATACTTCGATAGTAAGTAAAATTAAGTTGTTTTATGGAAAACTTTTTTGTTTTTCTAGATATCTTGACCCAACTTGGCATTTATAGGTTTCACTATGCTCAATACATTTATGCAAAATCTTATTTACATCGGAGTTCTATATCATATAGCTGCCATAAGAACGATCAGTCGAAAAGAAGGTTCTTGTATGAAAAACTTTTTTGTTTATTTAGATATCTTGACCAAACTCAACATTTATTAGTTTTACTATGCTCCTCATATATTAGCAAAATCCAGACAACATCGGACCACTATATTATATAGCTGCCATAGGAACGATTGGTCGAAAATTAAGTTGTTGTATGGAAAACTTTTTTATTTTTCAAGATATCTTAACCATAATCGGCATTTTTAGGTTTCACTATGCTCCCTACATTTATGCAAATTCTAATTTACATCGGACTACTATATCATATAGCTGCCATAGGAACGATCAGTCGAAAATTAAGTTGTTGTATGAAAAACTTTTTGTTTTTCAAGATATCTTAACCATACTCGGCATTAGCTATTTTCCCTGTGCTTCTTAGATACGGGCAAAGCACTATGAGCATTAGAAAGGGTTGCGTCTGCAAGGGTATTAAATCTTCGGCGTACCGAGATAGACCTTCTTTGTCGCTTTATTTTAAATATGTTTTACGATTATTAAAGTCTTCCACTTCGAGCGCTTTGAATGATTCCCAATTAACTTCCTAGTGGCCACAATTCAAATCGAAGCAATTTGGGAAAACTTTCGTTTCACTCTTCTCCAGCTGCTTTCACTGTGTTCATAGAAAATTGAAATTGAAAGTGATTCGTAATAATCGAAATCAAACACTCACAAAAGTCATTCAAATAAGAATGCACTGCCCAAGGTCCAACTGATTGCGTCAGGTGCCAGTTGGGAGTCGGGTGTCGGGTGTCGGGAGTCGCTTCGCCTTCAAAGGGAGAGCTTAAAAGACGCACCAAACCTTCATCAAATAGTTGCAAAAAATATTTTCCAATGAAAACAATGCATTCGAATTTTTTTTTTCTTTTTTATTTTTGTACAAAAAACACAGTTTGAGTGGCAAAGGCAAAAACGAAAAGCAACCAATTTGGTATTCGCATTGAATTTGAATTAATAGGATTAGAGGAATGGCTGTTGATGGCTGCTCGATGACTTTGGCAACTAAATTAAAGTGCTTTTTACCATAAAATTAAACGCAAATAATGATTTACGAAGAGTGTGTGTGTCTGTGTGTGTGTGTGTGGGACATGCCAAAGAACGGTTGGCTCTTTTTTGAAATAGGAGCATCTGATTAGTCTGATGTGGCAGCTAAAAAATATTGCGGCATACAGCAGCATTTTAATTATCGCAATTCCCCAGGGCGCAGTTCAACTAATTGCCCTTACCTCGGCCCCAAGACCCCTGCCCCCCCTCCCCCTCCCCCATTGCCACAGTCAACCAGGTCCGACACGCGCTACAATTAAACTATGCCCAAGCAAAGGACCAGAAGACAAAGCACCCCAAGTGAGAATACTTAAGTTGGGTTTGCTGAACCTAAAAATACCCTGTACCTAGTTTTAACTTACGCTAAAGCCCAAGCAAAGGGCCAAAAGACAAAGCACCCCAAGTGAGAATACTTAAGTTGGGTTTGCTGAACATAAAGATACCCTGTGAATAGTTTCAACTTATAGCAGCTTCTAAATGCTTAATACTTAATATAGGTTTGCAGAACCTAAAGATACCCTGTACCTAGTTTTAACTTGTAGCAGTTTCTTAATGCTTAAGACAAGGCTTGATAGATTCTGCTATTGAGGTGACTAAAAATATATAACCTATATATGGCCTGTTACATACCATTCCAGTACATTATACCCTCTTTTTTTACTACTTCTATGATTACAGGGCATAAAAACCACACACAGGCTTATCGGGCAAGCGATGCCAGAAGCTGTTGTCTTTTCAGCGGGGAAGGGAGAAGTGATTGCCCTTGTAACAAGGCAAGTGCAATTTGTGGCCAAAAAAAAAAAATAAGGGGACGGAGAGAGAGGGGCGTGTCCGCCCATCAACTGACAGAAATTACGCATTCCGTGCGAAATGTATGTACGAGATAATCATTTTAATAAATTTCACTGTGACAAATGAGAGTTGGTTACTCCGATTGGCCGTTTGGCTGGCTTCTTGCTGGCATTTGGCTTGTTGGCCTGAATTATTAATAAGCCATTGCCATTGCCATTGCCTGTGGCAATGAGGCAGGGCCAAATGCGAGCTGTCTAATTGATGACTGCTGCGAAGTACCTAGTTTAGGTACCAAGTCGTAATTGGGCGTAGTTTATGTGTCACCAACGTTTAGTTTATAGGGCCTAGCTCTATTATGGCATGTTACCAGAGACTAATGTCAATGGAATGTGGCAGATATATTGGCTAGAGCTTGTCACCTGTCTGTGGTCAGTTAATTAAAACAGAGCACTCACAACCTGTTTGATCTAAGCGATTCGTTCCGCCAAACATTTCTGCTAAGTGAGGTCATTTTAAGATATTCAAAAGTATTTACATTATATACAAATCATAGAGATCTACGAGTTGTTGGGAACAACATTGTTGTTAAGCATATTATTAAATGCAATCCTTTTAATGTAGGCAAAATATTTGTTTAGAGCCTTTTGGGGTAGCTTTTGCAAATGTTATTCTATTCAAAATATATGAAAATTTTATTTAATTTTGCCAAAGCCGTTGTGCAAATTTCATAGCACATTCTTTTCCATTGCCGTCATTTTGTTTGCCCGGCCGCGTTCCGCCCACCGCCGTGCCGCCCCCATTTTGTAAAAGTTTCCGCCGCTTACTGAAACTCATTTGAATGCATTTTCGTAATGAAGATGAATTTGGAGATTGTGTATTTTTCCAGTTCGCGGCACATTTTTTGGAAAATTGTTTGGCCAAAGTTTGAGTTTCTGTTTTAACTTGGCTTCGGTCGCCCCAAGCCAGTCAAGACTGTACACAGCCTTGCTCTTTAAAGCTGGCAAAAGCATATTTAATATGCGGCAGACATTCTAAAACACGTATCAGATTTCAGAGCTGAAGAGAACTTTCATTGCGCTAAATGAGTTTCAGCTGCAAAATTAAAAACTTTATCAGTGTGAAGGCAAAAAAAGCTTTCACACGTGTGTGCCTATATATCTATGTGTGTGTGTGTGTGTGTGTGTGAAAAAACTTGAAACTTTTTCATGAAGTTAAAGCAAAGAAAAATCAAATTATTGTGGTTGGGCTCAGCACGGCCCCGTCCCCGTCGCCGTTGCCGTTGCCGTTGCCTGCCGGGCTCCGGACTGGCAAAAGGATTACGCCGTACCCTTTGCTGGCATTCCTGTAACCCTCCCAC